GAGAGAAGCAGTGATTTTTGTTGTTCCACTTACTTGTGCATTCATTTGTTGGTTGATTCTTGTATGTGGCCAGACTGGGGATTGTACCTGCAACCTTGGCATATCAGGACAATGCCCCAATCAACTGAGCTCCCTGGAAACGACCTGAAATATTTTATTATAACAATTATGTAAATCCTGATTTGTCTGAAATAACATATATATAATACAGAAAATATTTGATTCACCAAGTGACTGTATCACTGATTGGTATTTGGATATGGAGATAGGGCCATAAATTGAGAAGAGTCCGTTTCTGTGTGTGTGTGTGTGTGTGTGTGTGTGTGTGTGTGTGTGTTTCTTTTTTTGAATTTCTAAATCTTTTGGCACACCAGCATGAGCAGGTGTCCCTAAATGTACAGAGACATATGGAGCCAATGTGGCAAGTCTGTCAGAAAGGAGACTTCTCTGCACTTCAATTTCACAGATGTCATAAGAAAAAATCTGCAAGATGCTTTTCTTAAACTTGGTATCACCGGGCACCTCTGGCTATTGCCACTGTTGCCAAGGGTCCCACCAATCCTTGAGTAAGCATAATGCCATGGAAACACATAGGCCCAAATATAAGAAAGCAAAATGTAAATCCTAAAGGTGAAAAATATGTTTCTACAGAGTAGCACCTTTGGTGGACACACTGACAGGACTGGTACTTGTGGATTAAGTATTTTCAAAAGTGTCAAAAGCAAGTCATCTTTAAGCAAAATGACGGGGGCATAAAAACAACATTGAAGTATAAAACCACTTTCTGTATGATGCAATCTCATTGCTACTAGTTACTCTAATTCTCAGAATACTAACAGTATCCATCCTTCTTCCACACTTCTAATTATTTACTCTGCTAAAAAATAATTTATTGCTTATGGATCAGTGCCTTTGCTGTTTTCTCTTTTCTCATACCTATATTACTTACTCTTGCGTTAATTTGCCTTCACAGAGCATAATACCATCAATGTCACTTTTATTCACAAACAACATTGATTTTTAAAAATATAATCTACAGTCTGTAAAATCATTCTAAATTCTTGTTACAAGCCAACTCCTCTAGGTGAGAGCAGCTAGAGTACTGTACAAATTAGCAAACTCTTGACACAGCCAGATTGCTTTCCCTAGTCTACCCGGGGTGTTTTCTACTTGACTGTTTCATTGTTGTTATTTTTGAAGTCATTTCTATCCTTGAGATGCAATGCACATGTCAATTTTCTTGGCCAAAATTACCCATCTCATTTCTCTTCATTTTCATTGTATTTTTGTTAGAGTAGCAACAATAATTCTTATTTCATTCAATTGTGTATTGTACGCATTTTGAAATGCATCTCTTTCTCTGCAAAGTATTATTGTGTTCTTGCAGGGGAGTTGTTTAGCTCAACTGTATGTCCTAAAATTCTAAGGCAGATTATTGGTGTGTTTTAATTGTTCCACGTGGGAACTTTCATTAATTTTTCAAACATGAAATTTGAGGATTTTAAGAATGTTTCTAAATATTTTATAAGTATATTTATCAATTTGAATAAGCATTCAAAATAATTGAGGGCCAAAAGTGAATCAAATGCATCCATAAAGACTATGAATTTTAACTTGACCTTTAAGTATTTGCTTGATATTTAGCATAGAATTAAAAACATCCAAATTGGGAAAAGGAAGATACCTATGAAATATAATGTAATAAAAATTAAGTTACTTAACACTCCTTGGCAAGCATAGGAATGTATTTAAAAGAGAAAGAAACAAATAGTTTATCATATAAAATAAATTAATGAAATCATAAAAAATATTGTGCCACTCTATATATTTGCAACTGAAAAATTTCAAATATTAAAAGCAAAAATATTTATTGCTTTTATACATGTTTCTTATATGTTATCTCATGAATTTTGAGAATAAACAAAGAGGTAGACAATACTTTTTATGCTATAATTGTTAGAACAGCATTAATAAGAGAGTAAATATTAATGCTTAGGTTTATACACCATTACTGCCTCTGCATAAATTCTAACCTTTAATCTACAATCTATTTTTGATAAGTTCCAACAGAATGATTCAACTCTGAAATATTATAAAACTGTGTTTTCACAGTGCCACAAAATCTCTCTCTCTCCTTTTTCTTACTGAAAAAATATTTATTTTATTATCAGTCCCCAAATATATTGAAATAATCCTACTTAAAACATTTGGGCTACATTAAAAGTGTTAGCTTTTTAATTTTTAATATAAATCAAAGTGTGTGACAGAGCTTAAATATTTTGAATAGCTGAAGATATTTGGAATTCTAAATCAGTTGTTCAACACTGAGAATCTTAAGTTATCTCCACAAACATGAGTGACTTCCTCCAGAAACTTCTATAACACATATCAAAACTATGTTTAATATTATAATTTCAGATAGTGTGTTTAAAACTTGAATTCTAGAATCCAGGTCTCTGCTGGCATAACAATGATACTTCAAAATAGTTATTGTCAGTTAAAAAGAAGCTCATGAACAAAATAGAGCCAGAGACATGGAAGTCGGGGACAGACAGACAAACCTCAGAGCAAGGGGGAGTTGGAGAGGACCGGAATAGAATAAACCAGAGAATTTATATGCGTATATGCACAACCAATAGACACAGACAACACTACTGTGAAGGTGGGAGTGGGGTAGGAGCGAGGAGGAGGGTGCGAATTTGGGAAAAAGGAGGGACATCTGTAACAAAATAAATAAGTAAATAATTAAATTATTTTTTTTTAAAAGAAGAAGAAGCACAAGAGAGAAGGTGGCTGGTTGTGTGGGTGACTGACTGTATGGTTAACTGCAGTGGAATAGCCTCCAACAATGAGAAGAGGGGGGAAAGTAGGAAGAAATTAGGGATTCCATTCCGCAAAAGGAGTGACATTGTAAAAGCAGGAGATGAGAACAGCAGTAGATATTCTTCCCACTAGCAGGCAACAAACAGCTTATTTAAACACTGCTGATAAATAACCACTGTAAAAATGTGCATGATTTTCCCTCCCAAATGACAAGGATTTCAAAAAACTATACATCAATTTTAAAAATGTGAGATTGGAAGAAAGAAAATATCCTTTAAGTAAAAACAACACCTTAAAATAATGAATAACAAGTAAAACAATGAATGAAAATAAGTACTAATAGTAGCTTCAATTATTGGCAGACTAACTACCTAGCAAGCTCTGTACGTGGGACATTAAATACATTCACTGACCTAATTCTGTAATGAGTCTGTGAAGGCGACGTCAGACACATAGTCCTGTAACTACATTTTACAAACGAAGGGAGGGATTCAGAGGATTTGAGTAGTATGCTCAGGAAAATTGGGCTAGCAAATTGGAGATTCAAAACTTTAACTCAGATGAATCGATTCTAAAGCTTTTAACATAAACCTAAACGGTAGATGCAAAGAATTATTCCTTTCCAAGAGTGGATGTGGAACGGTAGCACATTGGCAAAGACCTGCAGTTTATATCCTTAATCTACTGTAATTGTCTATTTCATCTGCTGTAGCAGTGCTTGGCACAAAGTAAAAATTCAAAAACATTATTTAATTTTTTATTATTAATACCATGCTAGACATTTGAAAATGCAAAATTAAAAAAAAATTGTGATCAGGCTATATACTTGCAGAAAGAGTAGCTCATGTTTAAACATTTATTCTGATCCCTAAATTATTCAACTGAATTGGGCTGATGAGCAAACTGAAGCAAATAATGGCCACGCAGTCACTTCATCCAGAGATGTTTACGTGCAACTTATCTCTTTACCGCAATAGAGAACTAGCGTAGGCTACTGTTACCTCTACTTAGCTCCCAAGGAATTTATAAGTAGATTCTCATGAAGATATAAGGTTTTATATTTAAACTTACATATAAAATGATTATTTCTACTAGAGGAAAAGCAATGCTATCCCTTTTACTGATCAAAATATAGTACTAAGTTTATTCATTGTTCTTCTCATCTTTAGTATGTACTTTCCACTGGATATCAGAGGGTTTCTGCTTTTTGTTTGCTCTGTCAGTGCAAGCACAGAGAATCAAAGCTAAGGAGGGCTGTTAGAATCCCGCTGAAGAATAAGAAGACTCCGTTTCTGCGCCGCGGCAGTGAAATGAAATCAGAGGTTACACCTGAGTCACAGGTTTTACGGTGAGACATTCCAAAAGCTCTTCTTGAATGCACTCGTACTCTGATCCTTTCTGAGAAGTAGGAAAAAAGGAGGGAGAAAAAAACGAGTGTGTTATACTGAACATGGCATGTGCTCCAGAAATGACTGGGGTTGCGCTGCATTAAATCTATTGCATTAAAAGTTATAAATAGTGCACAACGGATGGTCTGGCAGTGGTTTAATGGCAGTCAAGTATAAAATGCACTTGCTATTTTTTTTTTTTTTTTTTTTGCACCATTTCACAAATGGTGTAAGCAATCCAGCCTTCAGTGCACGGGGTGTAACAAATTTTATGAATTTCTTTAATGAGTGAAATCGTCTTAAAGTAAGATTTGCTCTGGCGGCTGTCCTCTGACTTGGCATGCTTTCCAGACAGCAAGCAAATGGCAGTTATTATTTTTTCACTATTGCTATTATTTCTGTTATGGATACTGAAAATAGAAATACATAATCAGACCACCTATTGTTCAATTTTATTTTCAATCTGTGAATAAACAATGGAGGTAAATTTACTTTTTTTTTTTTTTACAAAATCTTCTTGCAGTTTCTCTCTCTCTGTCATGCATGAGGAAATGGAAATGATTCAAGGATAAATGGGGTTCACTATAAACTTGACAATCAAGAAAGTTACATGCATCTAAATTGCCATCCCACTGAACAAGCTATTTCAATAAAAAAAAAAAAATCCATTTGAAAAGAGAATGGTTTTAGTCCTTGTTATAAGGAGTCATGATCATTCAAGGAAGATTAGTCTCATCAGCTCTCACAGGAATTACCCTTCACAAATCTTCTCTTTAAAAAAATAAAATAAAATACATGGAACGCTTCACGAACTCGCGTGTCATCCTCGCGCAGGGGCCACGCTAATCTTCTCCGTATCGTTCCAATTGCAGTGGATGTGCTGCCGAAGGAGCACTCTTCTCTTTTTCTGATATTCCAAAAAAATTGTCCTTTTCCTTTGAAATGAAAAGGGAAAAAAAAAAAAGTAATAACTTTAGAGATCTTGACAAACATTTCCTCCAACACCGACTGGCAGACATATCGATGACTCTTGCAAAAAGGTTAAAATGAAAATGCATCAGAGGGAAGAGGAGAGAAACAAATTGCTCCGGTGCTGGCGGAAGATCTGCCGTTGAGGTGAAGTCCACAGTGGAAAGGCACTTCAGGAACACCAGCTTTTTTTCCATCCAAAGCCCCTGGTGAGGTCAAGTCAGTCCTGAGATGGGAAGAGACAGCATGACTTTCACCTTGCCAGCAAGTTGCAATCTGTGCCCAACTTGCTGTGACAGCATGCTTACAAGACAGAACCTGGGTGTAGGTGACGCTGAGTCAGCAACTGCCGGCAAAGTGAAACATTCAGTCACGAAGTTGTTTTACTAGTGCAATTTCTACCAGGCATCCTGCTACTGTGGAAATGAAGAGACTTTTAAAAATTGCCTTTTAAGGTGACTGTCAGCATGTGGGAACGGAGGAGGCATCTTGTTGGTCCCTGCTCTCAGCAGCTTTGGCCAGTTGCAAGTAGCTGAGACTTCATTTTGCCTCTTCCAAAGCCTGCCTTCCTGTCCTGGGCAGTTTCTCTGATACTGCCACGTGGATCATCTGCAGAGTCCCTCAGTGTTAACACCTGAGGGACCACCTTTGACCAGTTGGGCACAGAAGCGAATGGAAAAATACATCCTCAGAAATGCTTTTCAGACCTTCCTGTGAGACTGAGCACTGGGCACATGCAGGTGGTGACTCAGTAATTCGCTGCATACAACTTTTTTGTTCCCTTGTTTCTTGTTCTTACCAGATAGAGTAGCTTTATTAACAAACGAGGTGACCTGCCTTTGATTTGCTCTCTGGTTTTGGGAGAACCCTGGATAAGTTAGTGGAAGATCTTGTTAGAGTAAGTGTGGCATTTATTTCTAGGTAAGGACTTTTTCTTAACCAACATTCTATCTGGCAGTGTTTCTATATCTGAAAAATGAGGCACAGTTGTATTTTTTGTTTATTTGTTTGTTTCTTTTCAATGGTTAAACCACATTAAGCTGAGCAGGTTTAAAATAACCTGTATGCCTTACCATTGTCTATGCTGCAAAGTCCAAGGTCTTTAACAAGCCTCACAGACCATTCAGGACCCTCAGGATACAGTCCATCACTACCATCCACCACTTCAGAACACACACACACACACACACACACACACTCATGACACTCATACACATACACACAAAGCCTATATTTTACCAAAAAATCCCAATTACTCAATGTTCTCACAGTTCATCCTAATTTCTCATATTTCTTGATTTGTCTGTATCTCTTATTTCTATATAAATACTCTTCCCCTATTTGCCTATCAGATGCATCTACTACTTTTTTGAATATACTTCACTGGATCCTTTCATCTATGTTAGTCAAACTTATGTGATTCTCACTGGCCTTATGCAAAAGTTCTCATATATGAACTTTGTAATGGAAGTAAGTGCTACATTAAGTAAGTAAGTGCTTACTTTAGTGTGATTCATATTAAACTGAGGGCAGGACCTCTGTTCTATTTATAGTTTTATCTCCAATGCATGAGTAGATGCTTTATAAATATTTGAGTTTATATCAGTAATGGAATTATGATAGTATTTAGCCTTCCCTTAAATATCTAATCCCTTTCCAAGGTCTCTTAGTGGTGACATTGGTTTAACTCTTATTCAAGTTATCAAGCAGCACAGCTCCATATTGGTGACCAGCAGAAGTGTATTAGACACTTTTCAGTTTCAGCCCTATTAGATTATTTTCCTCATATCATTTCCTCATTGGACTAACACTGATTGTGTATCCATTATGTATCAGGCAACGTGACAAACACTTGAGAACAAAGATATAGTGCTTGCTTTCTTAAAAGGTAGATGACAACCTAATGAGAAAACCCAGAATTAAATTTATTATTATTAGTATTGATTATTTTAGAGAGAGAGAAAGGGAGAGAGAGAGAAACATCGATGTGAGAGAGAAACATTGATTGGCCACCTCCTGCACTCCCCCTATTGGGGATGGAGCCCAAAACTCGGGCATGTGCCCTGACCAGGAATCAAACTGGGGCCATGGGATGCCACTCAATCCACTGAGCCACACCAGCCAGGCAAGAAAACCAAGAATTAACTTCCAAATAAGTAAATAGAATTTTTATACTTAAAAGCTGAGATATGGAAAACAGAGGAATTTCCTCCCCTCCTTTTAATACCCTGGGGAAGGTTTTCCTATCCATTTGGAGGATTAAGGCTGCTTGGCTGCAGTCTCCTGGAGTGTGTGAATGAGCCTGCTTACCAGTGAACTAGATCCCTGCTACCTGTTTCAGCGTCCCAGGTAGATGAAAACAAGTACATACAAATTCTGATTTACAAAATGGAGATAAGCAATTCATCAGATGCAGAGTTCAGAAAACAGGTTATAAGGTTGCTCAAGGAACTTGGTGTGACATTCAAGGGACTTAGTGAGACCTTCAAGGAACTTAAGGAAACCTCTGAGGAACTTAGTGAGAACAACAAAAAGATAAAAAAGACCAGTCAGAAACGAAGGATGCACTAACTAAAATAAAGAATAATTTAAAGAGAATCAATAGTAGAGTAGATAAAGCCAAGAAGCAAACCATCGATTGGGAATATAAGGAAATGAAAAACACCCAATTAGAATAGCAAAAAGAAAATAAATCAAAAAAAGTGAGGATAGTGTAAGGAGCCTCTGGGACCACTTCAAGCATGCCAATATTCGCATCATAGGGGTGCCAGAAGGAGAAGAGAGAGAGCAAGAAATTGAAAACCTATTTGAAACAATAATGACAGAACACTTCCCTAACTTGGTGAAGGAAACAGACATACAAGTCCAAGAAACACAGAGAGTCTCAAACAAGACAAACCCAAAGAGGTCCTTACCAAGACACATCATCATCAAAGTGCCAAAGGTTAAAGACAACGAGAGAATCTTAAAAGCAGCAAGAGAAAAGCAGTTTGTTACCTACAAAGGAGCTCCTATAAGACTGTCAGTCGATTTCTCAAAAGAAACTTTGCGAGTCCGAGAGGAGTGGCAAGAGGTATTCAAGGTGATGAAAAGCAATGACCTACAACCAAGATTGCTCTATCCTGCAAGGCTATCATTTAGAGTTGATAGACATATAAAGACTTTCACACACACAAGAAAAAGCTAAAGGAGTTCATCACCACCAAACCAGTATTACATGAAATATTGAAGAGTCTTCTTGAAGGAGAAAAACAAAAATATGAACAATAAAATGGCAATTAATACATATTTATCAACAATTGAATCTGCAAACAAAATGAGCAAGCAGAACAGAAACAGACTCATAGATACAGAGAACTTTTTGCTGCTTGCCAGATGGGTGAAGGTTGAGGGATGGGTATAAAAGAAGGATTAAGAAGTAAAATTTTGTTGTGAGACTGATGAACCTCAAAGGAAATGGGAGAGGGAGGGAGGGATGAGATAAACCAAAGAAATTCTATGCATATATGCATAACCAATGGACACTGACAATAGTATGAGAAGGCAGAAGTGGAGTGGCATTGGGGAGGAGGAGGATCAATGGGGAAAAAAGGGGAGACATCTGTAATACATTCAAGAATAAAAGTAGCCCTGGCTAGTTTGGCTCAGCGGTTAGAGTGTCGGCCTGCAGTCCAGAGAGACCCGGGTTCGGTTTCCGCTAAGGGCATGTACCTTGGTTGCAGTTTGTCCCTGGCCCTGGTTTGGTTGTGCGAGTGGGAGACCACTCAATGTTCCCTTTCATGTCAATGTTTCCCTCTCTCTCTCTCGGTCTCTCTCTCTCTCTCTCTCTCTCTCTCTCTCTCTCTCTCACTCTATCCAAACAACAAAAACAAAAAAGAATAAAAATAAGTCAAAACAAAATAAATAAATAAATAAATGTTGAGATATGGCCCTGGTCAGTTTGATTCAGTGGTCAGAGCATCAACCCACAGACCAAAAAGACCTTGAGTCTGGTCAAGGGCATGTACCTCAGTTGCAGTTCAATCCCTGGCTCTGGTTGGGGTCATGCGGGAGACAACCAATTAATGTGTCTCTCCCATACAGATGTTTCTCTCTCTCTCTTCCTCCCTCTCACTTTATCTGAAAATCAATGGAAAAATATCCTTAGTTGAGGATTTAAAAATGAGATATATAATATAAAGGTAGTGAACAGAAAGATTTGCTTTAGAGAGGTGAGGAACAGCTTAATATAAACATTAACTTTTACACTATATGAAGAGCAAAGAGAAAAATTTAAGGTAGAGGGGAGTGCACATAAGAAAAATCTGACATGAAAGAACGGATTCCCTTTAAAGAACGAAGAGAAGAATGCTGTGGATAGACTTGGGAGGGTAGGGTGGGGTGGGGCAAGAGCAGGCTCACCAAGGGTATCTTCCAAACGAGTTTTATCTGAGTTGCAGGGAGAAGTTACTGAAGGTTTTAAAGGATGGGAATTATAAGTTGTGATGAATACTTTATAAACAATTAGGCTTCTTACTCTGTGGAGAATTGAAAGAAAGAGACTGAAGTGGAATTGAGAAGAAAGCAGTTAGATAAATGTGCCTGCAGCCTAGCAGAGAAAATGTACATCATGAGATATACATCTGTGAGTTAATCTTTAAATCCTATTTAAAGCAAACAAAATAGATGGGTTCACCAATAAAATGAGAGGATGAGAGAAAGAAGAGAAGTAAAAACGGTCCCTGTCTAAATTCAACAAAGAATATGTCAGCTTGTCAGAGGGAAAGTCTGGAATATTTGGTGTCCCAGAAACTACGAGATAAAAGTGTTTTAAGATGTTGAGGAGCATTAACTATGCCATATGCTCCCAAGTGTTCTAGGAAGTTTATTACCAAAGTGCAATACTTGAAATTAGTAACACGTAGGTTATCGCCAATCTTAGAAGAA